CAAGTCTTTTGCAGACTCCAATAGGTTTTCTTCCAAGGTTGTCCTGTATTTGGCTCCATCCATCTCCCCATCAACTCTGACCAGCTTCCCTGTCCCTGCTGAAGAGAAGCCCCCCCAGAGCATGATGCTGCCACCACCATATCTGACAGTGGGGATGGTGTGTTCAGAGTGATGTGCAGTGTTAGTTTTCCACACACAGCGTTTTGCATGTTGGTCTCATCTGACCAGAGCACCTTCTTCCACATGTTTGCTGTGTCCCCACATGGCTTGTGGCAAACTGCAAACGGGACTTCTTATGGTTTTCTGTTAACAATGGCTTTCTTCTTGCCACTCTTCCATAAAGGCCAACTTTGTGCAGTGCACCACTAATAGTTGTCCTATGGACAGATTCCCCCACCTGAGCTGTAGATCTCTGCAGCTCGTCCAGAGTCACCATGGGCCTCTTGGCTGCATTTCTGATCAGCTCTGCTTGTTCGGCCTGTGAGTTTAGGTGGACGGCCTTGTCTTGGTAGGTTTACAGTTGTGCCAGACTCCTTCCATTTCTGAATGATGGCTTGAACAGAGCTCCGTGGATGTTCAAGGCTTGGGAAACCTTTTTGTAGCCTAAGCCTGCTTTAGATTTCTCAATAACTTTATCCCTGACCTGTCTGCTGTGTTCTTTGGACTTCATGGTGTTGTTGCTCCCAATATTCTCTTAGACAACCTCTGAGGCCGTCACAGAGCAGCTGTATTTGTACTGACATTAGATTACACACAGGTGCAGCCATCAGGGCAACAGGAAACATTCAAACATGTTTACTGTAAGAACGGCACAAAGAAAGGAAACACAATCCTACACACGAGCACTTTAAAATGGACATTTAGCTTTTCAAACATCAGGGAGCTGCAATAACAACACTGTGCCCATTCTGATCAGACTGAAAGATTTATAGAGATTTATCCATGTGCTGCAAAAGGATTTGATATCAACATATATGCAGATTAGTAGGAGTATTTTCTTCAGACTGATTTAGAGTTCAGTACCAGGAATGTGTAGAATTAACATCTGTGTGCATGACGAGTGATGAAAATTCAAACTTTCAAAGGACGTCAGAATCTCTATCTGTGACTGTCCCAGAGGAACCTACCTGAGGATTATTAAAGATCTGTCTATCTAGAAAGACTTGCATTGATTCACAGTGTACAGTTCTTTCTAATCTATCCTCCAAATCCTGTTTCTGCTGCATCAGAAGGGCTCAAACCTCCTGCTGTTTCTACTGGACCATCAATTCTACTTTATGATGATCGTCAAAGATAAAAACGTGAGTTTATTTGTGAACTCTGTGAAATGCATCTGGTGTTTAGTTTGAACCAATCCTGTGTCAGCTGCAGCCACATACACATACAAATGGCTGCGTTCCTGTTTAGACCTGCTGGCTGTCAATGGGCTTCATTCCATTTCAGACTGCTGGTGGTCGGCTGTGATCTAAACTCAACATCTTTAGCATCGTAGCGCTCGGAGTCTGATGTTGGCTCATGTGTTGTCACCAACATGACGTTCTACTAGTCAAGGCCTCACCTTAACCCACTGATGCTGATCACACAGACCCACTAATAGAACTGTCTTATCAGGTTTATGCAGCGTCACCATTAATGTCACATTTAATCAGACACATTTACATTACAAGCCCACTACAACCATTACCAACATGTTACATTACATTATACATCTGCACTGATTTAAAGTATTTTAACCTGATTCACTTTTTCCACCTTAACAGTTCATTCCTCAAATCAAACAAGATATTTGACCCTCAAAAAATGTACCAACAAATCATTTTGCAATAAAATATTTATTTTTCAACGTTTCCAAGTGAAATCAAACAAGTGTGTTTAAGAGTGAAACCAGAGTGGAAGCTGCTCATATAGAGTCCAGCCCAGGCTAAAGTAAGCTGAGTAGAGCAGCATCATCAAAGTGTCGGCTCTCTGAACACGGTGCAAGATCGCCATCTGCAGGGCAAAGCTAGTTTTTCTCACACTCCTCGTCAACATCAAGATGACGTCATCGTACAGGAAAGCATGCAGAGCAGGTGACATGACTGTCTGAGAGGCGGAGTTAAACTGTGGCAGGTAAGCATGTGGAGGAGGAGCAACAACATGACGCTGGAACATCATCAGGCGATCGTGGCTCAAGAGTTGGGAGTTCGCCTTGTAATCGGAAGGTTGCCGGTTCGAGCCCCGGCTTGGACAGTCTTGGTCGTTGTGTCCTTGGGCAAGACACTTCACCCGTTGCCTACTGGTGGTGGTCAGAGGGCCCGGTGGCGCCAGTGTCCGGCAGCCTCGCCGCTGTCAGTGCGCCCCAGGGTGGCTGTGGCTACAATGTAGCTGCCATCACCGATGTGTAAAGTGCTTTGGGACTAGTAAAGCGCTATACAAATACAGGCCATTTAATAGTTGTCCTATGGACAGACCCCCACCTGAGCTGTAGATCGCTGCAGCTCGTCCAGAGTCACCATGGGCCTCAAGTTCAAGGGGGCTGAATGCTTTTGTTTTATTGCAGTGAATGCAGACGTCCGGTGACTTCGAGCAAACTCTCCCACGAGGACAGATAAACTGTCTTGTTGTTTTCCTGCTTCTGATGTCCTCAGCAGTTCTGTTTGTGGCGAAGTGCAGGTTTGTTCTTATTTTCATGTGAAACAGAAAACACAAAGTTGAACATGCTTCACCTTAAAAGCCTTTTTACCTTATTTTGATCTTCTCAGAACACAAGGACAAAGATCCAGACAACCACCGGAGACATCATGACGTGTGTGTGTGTGTGTGTGTGTGTGTGTGTGTGTGTGTGTGTGTGTGTCCTTTCACACTGTACTCAGCTGTACTCAGTTCACTCTGGGACTGCATGGATGTGCTACTAGTACAAACATGATGACAGCACAGTTTCATAGAAAGCTGCACACTCCAGGTGTTTGTGCACAAACGCATCCATGCGTGACACTCATGTTAACTGTGTCAGTGCTGTGGTCTGTACATTTATGAATGGAGGTCTTTGGACAGCAGGACAGTAACCGTCTCTGATCACCAGGCCTGTGAACATCTGTCCTTTTTTAACAACAGGACATCGTTTACGCCATCCGCATGCTTTGTACAGAGAAACCACTGGAGCAACACTTCCTGCCATACAAGCCATCTACAGGAAGCGGTGTCTGAAAAGGGCTGGGAAAAATCCCAGCACACGGACTCTTCACCCTCCTGCCCTCTGGGAGGCGCTACAGGAGCCTCCGGACTGAGACCACCACCACAGCTGTCAGACTCCTGAACTCTGCCTCCTGACGTCTCACCCACATTAAACTCATGGACTGAACACACACACACACAACCACCTAAAACTGAACACACACACACAATGGACAAAACAAACAAATGGCCAACTGCACCCTCACACACACAATAATAACATGGACTGAGCCACCACTCACAACCACCAGCACTTTATATACCACTGTACTGTATCCATATATCTCACAGTTCTCAACTGCACCACTGTAAATGCTGTATAGACGATCACACTGTGCAATACAATAATTATAGTTGTTACAACAGTTTATTAACACTCACAATTGTACATCTACAATCTGTCTAGTTTTCATATTTCTAACCATATACCTGTTCATAGCCTGCACATATAGCATATTCATAACATACAGGTGTGTCACACTGTAACATACCTATAACAGATCCATATTCTGTAATATATCTATATTTTTGCTGAAGCACTTCTGGATGGATGCGAGCTGCATTTCGTTGCCTTGTACTTGTGACGTGTGCAATGACAATAAAGTTGAATTCTATTCGATTCTGAGTTGTATGTGCATGTAAAAGAAACCATAGTAAATGTGCTTGTGTGGTGTTCTTGCCTGTTAAAGTTAAATCCTTTTCCATTAAAAGAATTCCGACTTTAATCTCAGAGGAACATCTCACCTCTTTTTGCCTGTTCTGTGATTCAGAGGAGAAGTTGTTGGTTTATCTTAAGCAGGTTTGGCATGTAAAGAGAATTTTCCCCATCTTAGATCCTCTGACTGGAGAAAAATGAAACCTCTTTGTTGACTACAGGATGGCAGGTTGGCTCTTGCTGCAGAGATGCATTGAATCACAACCTGAGCAGCTGTGAGAACTTGCATGCTAATGACGTCCACGCCTTGCAGGACGATTGTTTCCACAGACACCCAAAACACAGCATATTACACAGAGCAGCGATGATTTCAAACAGAATGATAAGGAGGAATGATGATGAGCATTTCTTTGTCCACAGTTCTTCAACACAATTCTGCTGTTTTGATAAAAAAAACTGTAGATTATTAGTAAAGCCTGGCCGGCGTGTTCCTGGGCCCCAGCACTATGTGTGCCGCCAGTGGCGGTCCTAGCCAGTTTGGCGCCCTGGGCGAACACTCCCTCTGGCACCCCCCCACAAAACATATTAAGGATTGTACATTAACATAAAATTGTTGTACACACACACATAGGAAGAGAGAGAGTATGCATAGTATGCAAACAGCCATCATAATTCGTCACACAATGAGAACAGGACGAATCAACAACTGACAATGACTCATTAATATTAAAATCTGTAACTTAATGTATTGTTTGGAGTTTAGTCTGTTGCTGTTGCTATTTTTACCATTTCTTCTGTAACCCACATAATTTTCTAAGGGATTAATAAAGTATTCTGACTCTGATAGTTTCAGGATGACCTGCCATTATCCAATCACACGTCTGCTTACCTCTTCTTTTCTCTTTTTCTAACCTGAGCACCTGATGGCTTTGAACTTTTCTTGTCCATCTTCCATTGGTTTGAATTTTGCACTCCAGTATGAACAAATTGCTAAACACAACAACAAAATCGAGAAACAAAAAAACAAATGGAGAATCACAAAAACAAAATTGAGAAGCACAAAAACAAAACTGAGAATCACAAAAACAAATCAAGAAGCACAAAAACAAAAGAAGAAGCACAAAAACAAAAGAAGAAGCACAAAAACAAAAGAAGAAGCACAAAAACAAATCAAGAAGCACAAAAACAAATTGAGAAGCACAATTACATTAAGAAAACCGGAAAGGGTAGGTACCAGTCGGCAACAGGAGACATCACTGATTGGACGTCCGCGCTGTTCATCTTTGGAACCGGAAGTTACTCTGCCTGTGGCGCATTTTTTTCAAACATGAACATTAGCGGTGACCCAAACATAGCTGTCGCTATTCGAGAATATTTTGATTCAGGACAGACATACGAGGTGATACTGGATATGCTCAAGTGTAATCGTGACATTTCAATTAGTATGCGTACACTGAAAACGCATTTAAAAGAATCTGGACTGTACAGACGAGGCAACTATTCTCCACTTCCTGAGGTGAGGCGTGCCATTTTGGCCGAGCTTCGAGGACCAGGACAATTGTTTGGATATCGGACCATGTGGCAAGTTCTCAAACAAAAACACAAGCTGCGTGTCAAGCGTGATGTAGTTATGAGGCTGTTGAGACAACTAAATCCTCAAGGAATCGCTTTGAGAACTCGAAGGAGGTTCACAAGACGCACGTATCACTCCATGGGGCCCAATTACATATGGCATGTAGATGGCTATGATAAACTGAAACCCTTTGGCTTGGCCCTGTCAGGATGTATAGATGGCTTTTCAAGAAGACTGATGTGGCTTGTGTGTGGAGCAACAAACAACAACCCAGCTGTTATAGCTCACAATTATATAAACTGTGTAAAGAGTCTTGGTGTGATACCAATGAGATTACGAACAGACTTCGGGACTGAGAATGGGACTATGGCAGCAATACAGTGTACCCTCCGTCACGCGCACACGGACTATTATGCTGGATCGTCACGCCAGAGTAGCGTCCTGCTGGACGTGTTGAAAAGTTGGATGAGATAGACGTTAACAGCCGTCACTTTATTGCAGGAACTCAAAATGGTCACTGTCAGCTGTTGTGCCGAAATGAGCATGCTTGCCTAGATTTAACGCCGCCAATACAAAATGAAAAACTCAGACCAAACTCTCCACTCCTCACAATCAACACACAGAACAGAGTGAAAAGAATACAGCATTTTTAACAAGAACACTACTGCAGGGTCGCTACAATATTTATGGAAAACTAATATGCATTACTTTGTTTGACATGTGGCATGTTTTAAATGGGACCAAAATGTAACAAACCCTATAAAATGACCAAGAACAAAGCTAAATTGATTCTTAAATATTAATTATATACCCAGGTCTCAGTTTTGGATGGACTTGTTTGGAGACCTAAGAGACTCTGGAAACTTAAATGGAAGCCACGAACACCAATGCTTGCTGAGATTCTGCTTCAGAGGGGTTCAACAGAAAGACCTGGATGAATGCAAAGACCTCTGGAACAAACACAGGATCCGGCCAAGCAGACTTGCATCGTGTCCAGGGGGGATTCCAAACGAACTCTATCTCTTGCCTCACAGGTATTTGAGTTCTTAACAAAATGAATTAACCTTTTGCATCAAACTAAATGCAAGGTGTTGTTATTGCTTAAGTTGGTTAATATATATTCATAATTTTACACAA